GACAGTATGGTACAGACGGTTGCTGGGTTAAAGTGTCAAGATTCAAGAGTGAATCAATAGACATGTAGCGTGTACAAGTGTACAACTATACTGCACACTGTCCATGGTAAAGTGCTGTGGTCTGGAACATCAGTCGTCCAACGTCAGTCGTGAAGCGCAATTGACTCGCTCATCGACGTTGAACAGTCTTTGAGAGCTAGTTGAAGTCTCTGACCACGTCACACCGTCCGGTTGACGCTGAACCCCATTCTACTGTACAGTGTACAGTGTACAACTGTACTGCACACTGTCCATGGTAGAGTGCTGTGGTCTGGAACGTCAGTCGTGAAGCGCGATTGACTCACTCATCGACGTTGAACAGTCTTTGAGAGCTAGTTGAAGTCTCTGACCACGTCACACCGTCCGGTTGACGCTGAACCCCATCCTACAGTACTGTACAGTGTACAGTGTACAGTGTACAACTGTACTGTACAGTACTGTACTGTACTGCACACTGTCCATGGTAGCGTGCTGTGGTCCGGAACGTCAGCCGTGAAGCGCGATTGACTCACTCATCGACGTTGAACAGTCTTTGACAGCCAGTTGAAGTCTCTGATCACGTCACACCGTCCGGTTGACGCTGAACGCCATTCACTGTACGTGTACTGTACTGCACACTGTCCATGGTAGAGTGCTGTGGTCTGGAACGTCAGTCGTGAAGCGCGATTGACTCCTCCACTCATCGACGTTGAACAGTCTTTGAGAGCTAGTTGAAGTCTCTGACCACGTCACACCGTCCGGTTGACGCTGAACACCATTCCACTGTACTGTACTTTGTACTACTGTACTACACACCGTCGATGGTACAGTGCTGTGGTCTGGAACGTCAGTCGTCAAGCGCGATTGACTCCGCTCATCCACGTTGAACAGTCTTTGACAGCCAGTTGAAGTCTCTGATCACGTCACACCGTCCGGTTGACGCTGAACACCATTCTAGTGTACAGTAGAGTAGATCAGCCTCAGACAATCGCTCGATACGTCCGTCCTCCGTGGACGACGTGCAGTCCAGTCAGAAAACACAAGTGCTTCAAGCTAAGCGCAACACACTCACCCTATTGTATTCTATTGTACGCCAGTGGACGCTGGGCAGGTCAACCAGTTATCAGCAAGCTGCTGACTCGGAGATCATACTGAGATTGTCCGTGGTAGTGTGGGGTGTCACTCTACGTACGCCACATTGGCCTAGCAATTTTTTTTCTCTTTGAAAAATTCCAAGTGGACACAGGGAAAAAGTGCAAAGGAAAAGAGGAAAACAAGCAGTTTTCTCTTTCCTTCCTTGTCAATAACGTGTGGTAAGCAATGTCAAATTCGTTTATACCAGGAGAATTGTCATTTATCCCTTTGCTTACATTCAATCCTATTCATAGTGACGTTCGGACTTTGTGATACATTGTCATGATAGCAGGCAGGAATCGATTTGCTACAAATACAGTCATAGGATAAGATGGAGTTGAACATGCTCTACTTTACGCATCCAATCTTCAACCAATTGCTGTCTATCTTGCTGAAATTGCATGTAATTTAGGCTAGGAATAATGGGATCATAGTTCAGTGTAGGACCATGGATCTGCTCCATGCTTAATACAACGCGTTGTAGGGTATAGACAACGAGGCTGATTTGATTTGTTAGGATTCAAACAACGACAATACCATTTCATTCTCCAATCGACTTGTACCAACAACATGGATCGATCTGTAAAGGGTTGAACTAATTTCGCTCTATCCTTCTTATGCTTTATAGGCATTGTAAATAGCCAATCATTCATTGGATAGCTACAGGCAATCCGATTGCTTTCCAATCGAAAATTATCCACATTCAAACGTACTGTACTAGTAAAAACAAATTGAAATCATGGCTGATAAAGATAAAAAGAACGATAAAGGATTGGTAAGTTGTAAAAGACTCTTCAAGAATGAATCAAAACGATGTGAATATTGTCATTAAATTCCATTTCGGCAATATCCATTTTTAATTTTATATAATCTAACGAGCTCTTTTTGAGACGTTTTTGACTGTAACATTTTTAACTGTACGATACCGTAGACAACAACGATAACTGCAGTACTCCAGTTCAAATGATCAATGAATCGATTGGACTTATCTAAACACTAAATCTCCAAATGACTATTGCAACCGAATAGCAAACTGTGATTGAATTATTTCTTCCATCGTAACTGATTGTACACCAGTAGAATAGATAGCCTATCATGACAGTGACCTTTAAAGAAAGGAATGTAGCCATTCTGAAAATCTCGTGTGGTTAATTAAAACAACTGCCAAGTCCCCAGCGTAGCGATTTACATCATCAAATCGATCATGGTGCATTCATCCATACAATTTTATTCGTTCTTATCCAATACACTTGGTATTAGTTTAGCTGTCGCTGATATTTTTTTAAATGACAATCCCTTCTTTAAATTTACTTCTTAACACTACTGTAAATAAAACCAATTTCGTATGGCATACATGAATGAGCCGTGTATATATATCTATATAAATTGATATTACTATACGCTTGCTTTATATTTTAATTGTAGGATACTGTATTGGTAGTACTGTAGTACTGCATATCATGTGTAAATGAATTAATTGACATGGAGGAAAATTCTATTCTAGCTTTTAATGCTCACTCTTGTTTCTTAATTATGTCAAACACCCGTAGTACGGTATATTGAACAGGGAGATTATCTACTAGTACAGCATGACATTAACATTACGACTGTCGCTGATACAGTAATTGTTGCTTTGCTACTACAGTATTACGAATATCTTGGGCTCTGCCGTAGCAGTTTCGCACTTTCCTGCATATTTACTATACATATTATTCTACAATTGTCAATAGAAAATATTTTATCAATCAATAAACACTTTACCGTACTTGAATTTAACAAATAATGCTGTAGGTTCATAAAGCGAACCAACAACCATTGATTTTAAGGTATACACTAGCTACGGTAGTTTGTAACATAATAGCGCTTAAAATAACGCAATACTACATACTGTTATAAATTTTCTTAAATTATTGGTCAAGAAAAGACGCTATATCCGGTAATAATTATACCGATGGAAAAATGTTATTTGTAACGTAGATGAAATATCCTTAGCATCAACTGCACCCATACATGCAAACTCAATCCTACAACTTTTTGTGCTACATTAATAACCACAACATGGAGTATTTCGCAATGAATAGTATACTGTACTGTACATTTGATGATTCAACAATATGACACCGTATTACTACACGTGTAGTATAACGATTAATTAATATCATAATAATAATAATTTGATTTTTAAAATTCCCTGAATTAGTTCGGTGGAATATTTAGTGGTGGCAAAAAACCGAAAGGAAGCAAAGGAAGTAAGCAAAAAGAGGAAAAATCTGGGACAATACATGCAAAAACCAAAGTGTCCGTGATCCAGCCTATTAGTGAAGCGTTAGAAAAAGAAATTGCGTCTTTAAATGATTTGCCGGATACGGAAATTACACGTCGATTTGAAAAGATGTTGGTAAGTAACTGACAACAGATATAACTTTTAGGATTGATTAGGCATCAAAGTTGAAGGTCCATGTTTACAACTACGCACATTGTAGCATAGCTGAACTTCAACAATATCCATGCTCTCTCTTCAGTTGCCCATGCAATTGTACAACTCTACTGTACTGTAAACAATTCATATTTTTTAGTCCACAATTAACCTTATCTCAAAGCTATCTAGTAAATTTTCTTTTCAAAATGGTAATACTCTCAAAACCGTGAATACATGATTATCAGTGCAATTTTCCTATTACAGTTCATTAAACGCGCTAACATAGCATCGCCTGATGTCAAAGCGTAATTGTTTAGCTAGGTACGCTTCAGTAAAAAGAGAAATCCTAAGATACTGTTTTATTATGAATGATGGAATTCCTTTCATGTCATTGTAATTCTATGACTCGTTGCAATTTTGCTACTATTTCAATAACTATTGTATAAAGAGTTAGATAGTGTAATAACCTTCTAAATGTAATACTACAAATTGTTCAAGCTTCCAAAAATATTCGTATGTTGCAATCCAACTCAGTTCTTTAATACTGATTCTGAATGTGGCATTACGACAATCCTGTTACATTTCTCAATGTTGGCTCAAGTCAATGCTTGTATACAGTTCAATTTCGACTCAAATCGATTCTTTGTGGAGTTTAGACCGAACCGTGAATAGAAGTACTCGCAATCGCTAGATATTATTTGACCTATTAAACGTAATACTACGGTACATCGTCCTTTGTAGATTTTCAGTGTCTGATATTAATACTGCTTAGATCGCTACCGATTAATGATCATTATCGATGCGTTTGTAATATTTTGGTAGCTCGTCGTAAATAACCACCGGTGTTGACATGAATTCTTATGTATTCCTTTATGCTTGGCTACTGAAAGTCTGCAATGGTGTCAAATCTTTTAATATTCAATGTATAATAGGATGATATGAATCTGTCAGAAGCTCATCGAGCGCCAATACGTATGCGTGTCCAAGATAGACAAGGCAAAATGGAAATGCTAATATCACACATGCGAAGAACAGGAGTTATTGTAAGTGCTACTCATGCAGTTTAACGCTTAGCTATTAGCTATAGCACTCTGTTATTTATTACCTGTTATTAGGATGACCAAGTATCAACAGATCGACCTCAAAGTCCGAAAGATTATGTTACAGTATTGGAACGTTTAGACTCTTCAGAACATTTACTGAAAACACTCTATGCTTTGAGAGTATCCTTAACTGGTCAACCGATAAGGTTTTTACTGTTTATTGATAACTAAAATAACTTATACCAAAGTATAGCCTAGATAATTCTAATACACGCTCTTCGGAATGTAGCTGGCTGCAAGGTTTTGGTATGGAAGGTGCAGAACAAATTGTGAGGCATCTGGAGCAATGTTTGAAGAGGTTAGTGACCGACAACAAATATCTACTGTGTAAATGTATTACTAAATTGGCTATAGTTTTATTTGATATGAATATTATAATTAGTACTTAAAAAGGCTTTTACTTCATGATTTAATTATAATAAGTGTACGAAAGCCAATCAACTTTTTTTATCTAAAATTTGATTTCTGACAAATTAACTGTGTCAGTATGGAAATTACAAGATACTAACTTATATACACTTACTACTGCGTAATTAGTCATAAGGATATAGACAGAAAGATCCAGCATGAATGTGTGCGGTGCTTAAAAGCCTTCATGAATAATAGGGTATTTCTACAACATTTGATTTTAATAAAAGTAGTACATGATTACTCCATAAATATTTGCGAATAAAATTAATCTCTTGCCTTGTACCTCAGTACGGCTTAACAAATATGATGAAAAGAGATCGTGGCTTATCTTTCCTCGCAAAATGCATCAATTATCAACATCCACAATTAACTACAGATGCCATCAAATTACTGGCCGCTGTGTCTATCGTGCCTCCGAATGGGTATTAATTCAATAAATAATCAGATTATATATTTTTATGTTTGAAATATGTTTATATTACATTGTTGTCTGTTAGCTAACGTAATATCTCTTCTAGTCATGATGTCGCTATGGAAGCTCTAACATTAGCCGCGGAAGAAAAAGGTGTTGGCATTCAAAGATTTGAACCCATTATACCATGTTTAACCAAGGCAGAAAACCCTAGTGCCAAGGTTAGATTTTATAAGATAGTTGTCATTGCAAATAGCTATCTTCATAGCAATTTGAGAATCTGTTTCACTGATATGACTCTATTATATAATTAATTTTTGATTAACCTAAATTCTAGATTGCTTGTATTCAATTTGTTAACGCTATTGTGGCAACACCAAGCGATCTTTATTTTCGAACACATCTTCGAAATGAAATTATGAAAATTGGCTTCAGTGACGCTTTACAAGTAATATGCTAACGTTTAGATATGTTTGTATAGTTAACAATAAGTGGTAAATATGACTTACTTATACCGTTAATTTCATTCTGTAGCCGTTGCGGGAATTGGACATAGAAGATTTAACTGTACAATTAGATATTTTCGATGAGCACAGAGAGGAAGACTTCATAGAGTTGTGCCATCATTTCGATGATGTTCGCTTCGAAATGGAATATCCTTTATGAAACGTATAGACAGACCTACAATATCTTGTTTACTATAAAATATATAGTATTAATAAGAATGATTACTACGCAAAATAAAAGATTTTCGCCTTAATATTAATGTACTGATCCTGGAGAAATATTCCATATTCTATCCAGTGCCGTGAGCGACACAAAATCTGAACCTTACTTTCTTTCAATTTTACAACATTTACTTTTCATCCGTGACGACTACTTTGCTAGGTAACAAATGCAGTCAAAAAGAAGGGTTACAATTTTAATAACCGTTTCGCTTTCATTACGCCTACATTGATAATATAATAAAGACGTCGTTATCTTTTGGCTTTTAATATACAGACCTCAGTACTTCAAGCTGATTGAAGAGTGTATCTCGCAAATTGTGCTTCATCGCAGTGGAGTTGATCCTGACTTTACCGTGGCAAAACGATTTCAAATAGAAGTGGAGCCATTAATTGGTACCTTTTTTTTGTATTCTTTCATATCAATAGAACCGTTCTTAAGTTTCTTTGGTACGCAATTTTTTAGAGGGTCTAGTAGACAAGGCGAAGGTTGAAGAATTTGACTCTAAAATAGGAGTCCTCGAGAGGCAGGTAATTCGTATGACTTAGCTATTCAAGCGCCTTACTATACAGTACTTGCCATGATTCATGGATTATACTGTATATGAAAAACTAATTTTCTTTATAATGTGCACATAATCAGGTAGAAATTCAAGAAACGAAGAGATTAGAAGTGGAAACGAAATTAAATCAAGTGCAAGACAACTTAGTCAAGAGTACAGAGAAATACGAAAGAGAAGTTAAGGATTTACAGCAACAAGTATGTAGCAATTTAGCTTCAATTTATGATGCATTAACTTCACCAAGACGTTAGAATGATTTAACTTATATTCACTTACCTTCAGTTGGTTGGAAGTGCAGAAGCACTAGCAAAGGCAAAACAGCAAATTGAATTGGCCGAAGCAAAGGGTTAGTTGCATCTTCATTGGTAACAATTATTAGATCAGTTTTTGTATAATAATAAATCTAACGAAGTGGCCTGTATGACACCCTCCTAATATCACCTTTTCAGTTGCCGAATTGTCGAAAGCAAATGCATCTGCCAGTGCTGGACCACCACCGCCACCTTCTCCACCTGGAGGCCCAGAAATGGCTGCACCTCCTCCACCACCTCCTCCGCCTGGAATGGCTGCACCTCCTCCACCACCTCCGCCACCTGGAATGGCTGCACCTCCTCCACCACCTCCACCTCCTGGAGCCCCTGGAATGCCACCACCACCTCCTCCACCTCCTGGTGCTCCCGGAATGCCACCACCACCACCTCCTGGAATTCCTGGTGGCCCACCACCTCCACCAGGGTTTATAAGGCCACCTTCGAATGTCCCTGAGGGTGTAACACCAAAAAAGAAATATCCACGTGGAGTTCCAATGAAAAGATGTAACTGGACGAAGGTATATTTCACACTAATGTTTCAGTTGCTACAAAGTGCGGGCAAACTTTGAGATTAACCACTTCCATAAACATTCTTAGATTAATCCGCGTAATATCAAAAGGAACACGTTTTGGGCTGAATGTAAAGATTACAAATACGAAAGCAACGATTTATTTGCTTCATTAACAACAAACTTTGCAACAAAGCGTATTGAAGGTTATATCATTGTGACGACTGACTAGAATGATTGTTTGTAACCTCATTTATGAATTTGCGTTTTCATTTACCTCGTTTAGCTAAGAAGACAACATCAGAAGATGTGACAGATCAACCTAGCAAGAAAAGAATTAAAGAACTACGAGTATTGGACGGAAAATCTGCACAAAATCTTGGTAATTATATAGTTCTTTCAGTTCATCAACTTTATTTCAAAAGGACTTACGCAGTAGCTGATATAAAATTCACCCTTGACACACTTTAGGGTAATATTAATATTAAATTATTTACCAATATTATTTTATAGCAATTCTTATAGGAGCAGTAAAAATGGACTATGGGCAATTTAAGCATGTGATCTTAAGTGTAGATGAATCGCAGTTATCTTTGCAAACATTGCAGCAGTTGTCAAAATATTTACCATCTGCAGAACAAGTAAATCGATTAGCACATATGCAGAGTTTCGGTTTCGTTATTGTCAAATTTAACTGTTACCAGTAATTGTTTCATTTCTATTGGCTTTGCTATTAAATATGATGAAGGTACTAAATGTATGATGCTTTACTCTTCTGTATATGTAGCTTGGGGTACTATCAGAATTAAAATCAGATTATGACAATCTTAATGACATGGAGCAATTTGCTGTTGTGGTATGAACAAATGTGACTTTTTCCGTCTGCATATATATATATATACAGTAATTATGAAAAATTCTTTGCATAATTGTTATGATCGTTATTTTCGCTGTACGAAATTTTACCACTAGATGTCATCGATCAAGAGATTAGGTCCACGCTTGAATAGTATGATATTTAAAATGAAGTTTAACGAAGATATAGCGGATATAAAACCGGTAAATAAGATTACGACATACAAATTTGAATTAGAATTATTGCATAATGAGGGATCCAGAAAGATTTGTTTATTATTTGATACAGTACTTATATTTTATTGATAAAATAGGATATTGTTAATGTATCATCCGCTTGTAATGAAGTTAAGTCTAGCCAAGGCTTTAAGAGGCTACTGGAAGTATGTAAATATTTATTACATCACTATCACCGTGTGGCGTTTTTAATATTAGTAGAGTCATCAAAATTTTATTTTAATAATATTTTAGATGGTATTACTTATCGGCAATTATATGAACGCTGGCTCACGCAATGAGCAGTCTTATGGTTTCGAATTAAACTTTTTAACAAAGGTATGCTAGCATCCTATAGCTTCTGAGTTACATAAAATTTATTTCAAAAATATCGTATTGTTTTTTATAGCTAAGTAATACAAAATCGACGGACAACAAAATGACTTTGTTACACTTCATTACGAAAATTGCTGAAGAAAAGTATCCTGATATCTTCGCATTCCAATCCGAATTAGTTCATGTTGAAAAAGCTTCAAGGGGTAAGCATGTAATATTGTAATGTATGCACTTCCTTTTATTATTAAATATTATACTGACAAGCCATTATTTCGCAGTATCGGAAGATTTAGTCCAAGTGGCTTTAAATTCCCTAAATAAAGAATTAAAAAAGCTAGAGGCTGAAGTAGAACACAGCGAACGATTTACTGATCCTGAAGATCGATTCCATGAAGTCATGTCGATATCCTAATTACCTTTGCTGATTTGAAATTTAGCTAATAATGTCATATGTAAAATCGCAATTTTTTATTGAGAAATACTGGTTTTATTTGCTTTAATTATACGTACAAATTCTATGAGTCGGCCAGCGAAGAGTTAGATCTGTTGACGAGCATGTTTGACCGAATGAAAAAATTATTTGTGGAATTGATGGAATATTTCTGTTTGGATTCCAATAAAATGTCAGCAGAAGAATATTTTGGAGATATGAACGTATTTTTGAAAAATTTTGAAGTATGTAAGAATGCGCGTAGCCTGACACGTTAATAGACTTAATATGAAGTTTATTTTCCTCTGTTTACAATTTTTCCTTTATTGAATACGTTTTAGAATGCCCATAAGGATATTATGAAGTGGCGTGAAGCGGAAGAAAAGCAACGAAGACTGAAAGAGCGAGCTGTAAGCATATGTTGTGTAATTAGTAAATGACGGCTATAAAAATATTCATTTCTCAAATCTAAGGAAAAAGATAAAGAGAAAAAGAGAAAGAAAAAAGAAAAAGATCTATCGAAAGTTAAAACGGTTATCAATTTAGATACAGGTAAGTACTAGCAACACTCATATAAAAATTAGGAAGCTAAAAGTCGTTAACTCAAGTTTGCGATAATAAATATTTATTATCTTAAAAAAGTCTCATCTATATTAAGCTTTGTCATTAATTTAATATTATTTTTAATAAAGCCGATGATCAGGAAGGTGTGTTAGATGGCCTTATGCAAGCTTTGCAGACTGGAAGCGCCTTCAGGTTTAAAGGAATTGTATCATTTCTCTATGATAATATACGAAATCTATATTGATAGTTATTTCTGATGCCTTGTTATTTAGAGATCCTACAAAGCCCGTGAGAAAAAGGGAAGGCAAGCCAGGTAAAGTTATTTGATGCTGTAACTAGTTATAAAATAATGGAAAAATCTTAGCAGTAAAGTAATATATTTTGATATATCGGCTTGACACCCATTCAACTATTGTAGGAGATCGCCGATTAGATGAAATTCGGCGTAATAGAACTCGTGGAAATGTTAGAAGTGTAGTGTCACCTTCGCAGTCATTGGACTTAAGCGATGACGATACCCCTACCAAGCGATTAATTGGTAGTCCAAAAGGAAGCCGTCGTAAGGATGTAGTAGATGACGTAAATAGAACGCCATCCCCTAAAACAAAGCAAAGGCACCGAAAAATAGGTGAAAACATGGAAATAGACGCCGAAAAATTACTGAAAAGATTGGAAGATCTATAAATTCGTGAAGTCAGCTTAGGCATTATTGATCATGTGAATACATTTCTTTTCATTTCATCTCATGAATACTAGTATTTAAAAAAATCGCATTATTATAGTTATTTGCAGTATATGAAATTTAGCTCTTTAAAACAATATGCAACAAAATGAATGAATGTTTATGTTTAGCTCGCTTTTGTGTATTTGTTAGTAAATTTTAGCGTTTCATGGATATTCAGTGAAAAGCTTGTATATATAGCTCATTAAGTCATTATAAACATGAACGGTGTCGTAGTCCTATCCGATGAAACGTTACTATGACTTGTATTGATTTACCTGTGGCAATCTGCAAAATTCTCCTAAAAATTGATGAAAGCAAGAATATTTCTTGTTGATGTCATATATGATAGGGTGGTTGGTCTTAAATATTTTATTTTTTAATTCCTAGCTCACCTTACGATTAGTTAATTGACTACGGAGCAGATATGATAGACTTTAAACTGGTGTTTACCTTTTATCCTATCAGAAGATTTTTAGCAAAATGTTATATCTGCATTTCCGTCATTACACTTTGTTTGCTACATCCGCAAGTTAATATCATAATAATGACAATGATAAAAGAAGCCTGCCATCGTATGTAATTGGCCTATTTATCGTCGCACTATTTCCTGAGCTGACATCGTTGTACGTATAGTATTTTTTTATAGCTTCATGTTGTTGGTCTTGATCGCTAAAAGAAATTATATTTATATTACTGACAACATGTTTCATATCGTAAGTTCACGCAGTAATGGTATCTTAACAGATGATAAACACTAGCTTTGGTAGCATGATGTAAACGTGAAATAATCCTCAACAATAATTCTTGTACACGATGCTGAAACTTGTGCAATTAGTGTGAGTTAATAATGTAGTTAATACAATTATTAACTGATGTCATTCACTTAATGTAGAATTACCGGCTTATGAATTTGCCTCTTTGATGTATTTATAATGGTCGAAATGAAATATTTTTATTTTGGTCTACTTGATACCGTAAATAAACACATTTTTAGCTAGAAAATAATTGAAATTGAAGAATGCGGTATAAAACAAGGTTCATGGCGTTATCTGATGTACAAGTACGATTTTGGTTGAATTAACTCTGAGTACTGTACTATAAATATACTTATTAAAAGTGTTAGCATGATTGATTTTCGTTTTATTCCTGGCCATTATATAACATCTCACTTATTTTCTGAAATAAAAATTATGTCTATAGGTGTTAATCTCATTGCATTAATGTAGTTCTTAAAGCAATTTGTGAGTTTCTAACTCCTATTAATAACATATGTATGATATCGATACTAACCAATAGCCTACTCATCAATGATCGTCTAGCGTAATACAGTAGGAATTTCCATCGGTATTTCACATTGCATTTTCATTCCATTGCATTACGGTCATTTTTAGAGATTGAAAATAAAGCGTTTATTTTAAGTCAGAAACTAAATAAGCTGTACAAGTAACTCTTTTATGCAGCAACTTCAATTACCGCTTAGACTTGGCATAACAGTAAGATATGATACCGATATCATTTATAACTAATCAGAATTACATACCGTAAGAAGCGTAGCAACTGATAAAAATTGTCAAGTGAACGGAGAATCTTAATCATCTGACATCTACACATTATAGTAGCGTACTTAATCAGCAAGCTCATATTAATCACACTACGCATACCATAAACGCACTCTACATCAAGACAACTTTACTAGAATATAATACAAGTATCATAATGATCAACTTGTTTACAAGTACAGTTTCAGAATAAAATTTGAACTTAATATTTATTTTTAATTCCTAGAACGACAGTGAGTTTATGAAACTGCAGTAGTATGGAGCCGATAAGTTATGCAAAGGTATTACAGTCTTGTAGATATACTGTACGTACGTACGTTGTATATAATCAATTAATCAACTTAATCTATTGCTGTCTAACTGTGATTAAATAAACATTCAGAGTTAGTGGAAATCATTGATCATTTTGCAAATTGTATTAAAATAATTAACTTGTAATATCCACAACATCGTCTATGATACAAGTGAATTAACAGACAATACATAAATTTTTTCGCTTGATGAGATGGTATAAATTTGGCCAATAATGTAAACAACAATACTGTATAATAAAAACAGTCTGGAAACTGTGATGAATAGGTTAAACGCCAGTATTTAATTTTTCTTTTCTTCTCGCCTCTCGTCATATTCACCTTCTATCTGATCATGACTATCATCATATCCAAATGTTCTCTTCAGTTTCGTTAGCCAACTTTCGCTTTCTGTATAACAAATGAAACACAAGTATAATATTTGAAGTGTAAGCGTTAGATAACCCTTCGCAAGTTACCTTATAGTCAGAATAAATAAAAAACTTTATGTATTCTACGATCATATAGTAGAATTTCCTACCTGGTGAATCGTTAACATCGTTTACGGTACCTTTGCGTTCGTTCTCTTCTTCGGCAAAGGCAGAAATTAATGCTTGCTGTTTCGGTGTTAGAGACCTGGAATTTTGCAAGTAATCAATAACAATGATATTTTAGTAAATTTAAATAAATTATACCGAAATAAATAGCACAGGAGTACAACTGCTAATGGTGAGAAAATTTAGAGGTCGTTGCAATACTGCATATTATCAGTGCATAAAATGTTACGTAATCTCATCTTTAAATACCGTGGCACTTTGATCTTAATATGAACAAAATGATCTCCTTTCCCAGTACTCTGTAATTTTTGCACACCACGCTGAGATAATTTAATAGTTTCATGAGAATGAGTTCCACGCGGGATCTATTGTAATAAGAACATAATAATGCTAATATATTCCATATCTAAGTTACACAGACAAAAATCTCCAATAATTCGTAAAATCGTAAGCCTAGAAATTATTACCTTAATATTAACTGCGCCATGAATTCCATCAACCCTGATAGTACCACCAAGTATAGCCTATACCGAGCAATGATTGAAATATAGAAATTATCTTCGCCCATCCATACATAAATCTCTTGGTCACGTACAAAACCAAAGTATGACAGCTTCAAATAAGAGTAAAATACCTGAGTAACTGAAATTTCAATTTCCGAATGTATGTTGTAACCATCACGTTCGAATACGCTGCTTTCTGATACCTACATCAGGAGATATTAGTACGATTAGGACATAAATATTCTATTAATACAGCAGCTATAACTCCAAAGACTACGATTAAGAAAGCGTTCGCAAAAAAATCCATTTAAATGAATACAGAAATAAATTAAATCAGTTATAATTGCAACTAACCTCAAAAACGACAGATACTTCTTCAGATTTGCTAATAGGTATTCCCATAGCTTGTCCTTTTTGAACACCTAATAACAACAACGAAGATAATAATCAATTAAGAAAACTATCTATGGTTAAGCCATAGATCGTAATTAAAAATATCAACCTGGAGGTACATGTATAGAAATTCGCTCGCGTTTCTTTACAGTGCCACGACCTCTACAGCTTCTACATGGTTTAGTAACTATGCGACCTCTTCCGCCACACCTTTGGCAAGTTGCAGCCATATTAAAAATGCCAGTTTGTATATATTGCTATAATTTAAATGTAATAGCGTAAATCATTACATTAGGCAAGAACAATTTACCATTACTATACTTTATAAATGAGATAGCTAAGGATATTTCCTATTTAATTGAGATTGAAATAAATTACCTGGCCAGTCCCATTACACGTAGTGCATGTTACAATTTTACTACCAGGTTCTGAACCAGAACCTTTACATCTATCACAATTGGCACTGATAGGAATTTCAATTTCTTTACGGCAGCCTTTAACAGCTTCCATAAAGGTTAGGCGTAGTAGAAACTATGGATTGAAATTTAAAGTATTAAAGCATATGCATTTTTAGAGTTTTATAAAGGAAAAGGCATCGCGTAGGGCATAGCCAAGTCAAGTAGTGTAATTACCATCATGACACAATAGTAACAAGATAACAAAGTTGAATTTAAGGCACAACATACATTAATCTTCATAAATACTGTAGCTTCATACCTGAGTGCTATCTGTAAATTGAGAACCACCAAAATCAGTAAAACCTCTAAATGGACCATCACGACTAAAAAATTCTTTGAATATGTCTTCAGCACTCGCTTGCGAATAACCTTTAATTAGTGATAAAAAAAGCGCGTGCACGAATATTAATCAGAAAAATACTCAAGATAATAATATCGCCAAAAAGTTATTTCGATATCATATATTTCTCTATTGATACTGGAGAATTATATAGAATAATATATAAATTGTTGCAGTTATGACTTAACAGGCCGTAATTGCTGTATACAATATGCGACAAAGTTTCTACCTGCGCCACCAGCACCGGCACCACCACCCGAAAAAGCTGTTCCATACTGGTCATATTGGGATCGCTTGCTTGCATCGCTCAATATCTAATGTAAATACGATTAAAATAAACATATTGAAATAATTTAGAATACAGAAATTGTATTTGCTTTCGCAACAACTATTAATTTATTAACATTGGTTATTTATACTATTACCAATAATCTCTAATCTATTACTAAGGCTTTGAATGTCTGTCTCCATAATGTATTAATGTCAATAACTTCCTACCTCGTAAGCTTCGCTAATTTCTGTAAATTTCTTTGCAGCTTCTTTATCATCTTTGTTTCTATCAGGATGATACTGCTTGGCCAGCTATAGTTCAAGACACAATATTCACAAAGTTTATTCAATCAATCAATTATAACGTCAAGACAATTCCGATACGATACAAATATATCGTTTTATTACCAAAAATTTCTGATAAATATGCCTTTATGTCGTAAAAAATGCTTATATCTTATTATTCTCTACTATACGACAGGTTGAGATCATGATAAACTAGATCGAACCCAGTATCGATTATAGCGAAAAGCTTTACCTTATAATACGCTTTCTTGATTTCATCTGCAGAGGCATTCCTGGATATGCCCAAAACCTTATAATAATCTTTATTATACCTAGATGCTGTCAAGATCAATTATAGTAGTATACTAGTTTAATTTGTAGCAATATTATAGCGTACAGTAAAGTTAGCGCAACATACTTTTAAAGGCAAAAATCAATAATATCAATTTTAATCAACGTAGTGTCGAAGTAAATCGAAGCGAGGATTTTTTTATTAAATATCGGTATTTATTTTAATTTGTAATAAGATGCAATGTGTACGATTACCTGTTGTATGGATTTGCTTGGATGATGAATAAGTTAAGCCATGGTAAGGTGACTGATCTGCAATAGAAGACCCATGATCAATGTCAACAATATTTCAAAAATGACAAAAGATGTCAACATCATAGGGATACGATAATGATCACGTTGATTCTAAAGCAATTGAAATTATTACTCTTTCTGTAAGTAAACTGCTCTAGTTGCAGCATGGTCATGAATCGTTCATCATTTATTATAGCCTAAACGATAGCAAAGAATCTGCAGTTGATTATCAAATACAGTTTAACTTTTATGCTACCAATGATAACCACTACAATGGAATCGAGCTGAGCTCATTTTATGACGGGTAGAGAATAGTTTAATTTTTTTTCTATGGATTCTATCTTCATTTCACTACAACATTGAAGCAATTTGCTGAAATGAATGGCAGATAAGAAATTTGACTGTATCAGTATCATCTTGAATGAGTTAACGTGTACAATAGAAAAGAGTTCAATCTAGTTTGAATAATTCTGTCATGAATTCATTTAGATATCAGAGAAATTTACAGGTATGAATTGCAGGCAAAAATTTAATCATTCAAGAATGGTCTGGATTGAGTATAGCCTTATAAGTGATTGCTTGTATGCGTATGACTGGCAGAGCATAATCTATTCAACCTGATCGATTCGAATGTTGTAGAAATCTGCAGGTATAAATATTACCGCCTAGAAACGTCAACGTTGTACTACTATCTTGATTAAGCGTTGTACCATAATGAAGTCTTTATAAGCGCATGATCGGAGAGGATCATTTAACTTAATTTGGCCAAATTTACATTAATTACGACTTCGCGTTAAGACCAAGATACAAGATCGCTTCAAAGGTATTGTTATAACTTACTGTAGCATAGCAATACTCCTGCAATGATAATTATAAATAGGGAATCTTGTGATTGAACTTCATCAACTCTATCCTAGTTTGATTTCAGCAATAGAGCAATTTGCTGATATAAGTTGGGCTAAGCCAGATGATCGCTGAAGTAATTCCTAAGCTTAGCATAGCATCCATTACTTACATAATTGGTAGGAAAAACGTAATTGAACTTGATTCTATAACGGCTTCGTTCCAATACTAGAACAATCTATTAGTACGAGTTGTGGCCCGGAAACATGATTAACTCTTGATTAGAATTAATATATAGTAGCTCCTCATGTACTTTCACCGAATATACGTACAGTATGATCGATAGGGGATCAACTCCTTGAAGCTAATCGATTCTATCACAATTTAATACAGCACTAGCGGCTGTGAGTGGCTGCCATGACACAGAATCATAGCATTATGATGGAACCAAATTGAACTTGATTGATTCTATCTTGAGTTGGTTCCTTGCCTGGTCGTTGTAATCTCTTGCTGGTTAAGTAGAACGTAAATCACTTTCATGGTAATAGGGAATCTAATCATCTGCTGGAATCAAGTGTACAGCATTGCTATTTAACGACTAATCGTTATGATTTTATATAAAAACAGATGCTTGTGTTACATGGCTCTAGGTAGTCATTGCGGTAGCTGGTTTCCTTCAAACTATCACTACTGCACTCGATATTCTACGGTAACAGTATGCAACTCATCTGCAACATTATTCTATCACCTCATACAACGTTGTAGAGTCGAATACAATTCTACATCAACTTGATCGTACTCTCGATAACCATTCCTAATGATACTCGTAAGATATAGAAAATGGACAGACAAGTCTATTTATGATGGAAAGCTATCAACTGATGACTTCCATGGCATGATTAATGTTGCCTAGACGATGGGCATGGCGAAAAACGACTGTAGTACGCCATGGTCGCATGCTCCATATGATGATGGAGATGATGATTAAGCACCTAATTCATCTCCTCGCCTATAATCACTGTACACTTCGACAGCATTATCTCGATCCTATCTCATCTTCTAACAGTCTAACTCAATACTCTAGTAGGAAAGCATTGCAAGCAATCCTTTCCATGGCTCAACATCGTTGATGATGATCATAGTACACCTAAGCCACTTACTTATTATACAGTACTGTATTGATGGACTACGGACTCGCTACTCTCCAACTTACCGATGGTTCTTTTAACGTTGCTCTTGCAGTTCAACCAACGTTTGGATGTCGTTCTATTGTCATGAACGATGAAGACAGGTAGATTGCCCATCGTTCTAAGTACCAAATTGAATGCATTTCTATTTAATTGCAAGTTAACCAGTGATTTGATCGCCATGTTCGAGAAAAGACTGCAAGCCATGATGGCGATAGCATTGCAATGGACTGCGCATAATCACTCCATCTGCCACACCACCTTTCACCATCCAAGTTACATCACCCCTACCAAGTTGGCAGTGGAAAGACAGGGTTACAACGCATGTACCGTGTTACGATATAGTATACAGTATGAGATCGTATTCAGATCATGCCGTCGGGCAAGCATCAGGTCTTGCAGATTTGGATCGGTGTGCTCGCCTGTCAAGGGTGTGGCATTCGAAATCAGTATACTACCCCATACACTCAAAATAGTTGATAGAAATTCCTATAAAAAAATTGACTCAAGTCGATCTGCTATAGCAAGAAGTAACCACACCAAAAGCTGCCATTACTGGCATAACAGCGACCTCCATTTTACTTTTGCGATCCCGATCTCGACAATTTCTAAGCTGAAATTCTACGCCATGATTGCTTGTAGAGGTATATTTGGTACTGACAGTGATTGTACTGCTTTCATTGTTCATCGCTATGTAATTCATGCTGGCTTGAACGTTTCCCAAGCCGGCAATATCAGAAGCGAACCACGGGCAGCTGCAGCTGGAGCACGGATTGAAAACTATTCCAATCCGCGAAAGAAATCGAGTCTACAAAATCATCTTATTTGGAAAGGTATTTAGCACGATGGAGTATAGGAGTAATAGGGAATCATTCTTCTTTCATCACCATTGCAATACTAGTACAACTGTGCCAAAGATCACTGGCATCATTCATCACTATTGGATCTGTTTTGTTCAATAATGGTTGTACAAGTATTATAGTCAACTCTGTTTCCATTTTTCATCGCCATGTAATTCATGCCGGCTTGAACATTTCCCAAGCCGGCAATATCAGAAGCGAATCACGGATTGAAGACTATTCCAATTCGCGAAAAGAAATCGAGTCTGCAAAATCATCTTATTTGGAAGGCATTTAGCACGATGGAGTATAGGAGTAATAAGGAATCATTCTTCTTTCATCACCATTGCAATACTAATACAACTGTGCCAAAGATCACTAGCATCACTCATTACTATTGGACCTGTTTTGCTCAATAATGGTTGTATTACAGTGATTGACTGCACTGCTTCTGTTTTTCATCGCCATGTAATTTATGCCGGCTTGAACATTTCCCAAGCCGGCAATATCAGAAGCGAACCACGGGCAGCTGCAGCTAGAGCACGGGTTGAAGACTATTTGAATCCGTGAAAGAAATCCGAGTCAGCTAAATCATCCTATTTGGAAAGGTATTTAGCAAGATGGAGTATAGGAATAATAAGGAATCATTCTTCTTTCATCACCATTACAATACTAATACAACTGTGCCAAAGATCACCGGCATCATTCATTACCATTGGACCTGTTTTTGCTCAATATAGTTGTATTCCAGTCAACAGCCGAAATCACACATGAAACACCCGAGAGCAACAATAATGAATATCATGAAGGCCTAACCTGTGCAAGAGATGCCTAAACCTGATGGTTTACCGTTCATTTGGTCTTTACGAACGCTACTCAAAAGTAATGGATATCATCAAAAGCAATTGACATTGATAAGATTGTCCAAAAGAGATGGTCTTGTCTTTCCAGATGAAATTAGACCTCTTTCGTATGTGTACCATTCTTTAAAGGGGATTTCGTAATATTGAAAATTATTTCAATTTTACTACGTGTAGTAACGATAACTTTAGTATGTCAGTCATTTACCACGCTTGTTTTTGATAGCAATTGCAAGTGGTATTTTGCCAATATCCATGCGTGTCTATATAGTCAGCCAACACAGTGCTGTGGACACTGTATATTGGGCAAACATCCTGACATTCAAGAAAAGTTATACCAAGAGATACGCCGTGTACTGAAGAAAGGAAAATATCCTGCTAGTTTATCTGTTTAAAAGATGTTGTACCTAAGAGATCTACTAAAGCAAAGCGAACGGTATGTTAGAGTAGAATAGATATTGTTTAATAAAAGTAATTTCACCATATCCGAATTGTATGTTTAAACAACAACTAGCATATATCTGATTGCTGTTGTAACTATTGGAATTCTTGATAAAGACCCAGTATTAGGTTTGTATCAAGTTTCGGCCGAGGTATATTGCTAAATATTGTACTGTGAAGTATATGCAGTAAGCAATGTTCTCTTCCATGTTATACGATTACTGTAAAGTTATTATGCAACTGATTGAGATTAATAGTAGATTTATTGTTGAAAGCATTGAGCTCATTAATTACTATTATCAACTTGCTAAATTAAGATACTATATCGAATTGATCATCGATTTACAATAATAATTAATTTCGTTGTATCTACTCTGAATATCATCCAAAACTTCAATGGTATATCTAAAAATTGTTTCCAGACTAGGATATTTTCGGTTACCATATGATGCCATTTGATGAATGGTTTCATGATCAGCCAACAAAGATAAAGCCTAAAAGATGGATAACATCGTCCTCTCAATATCGTTTTAATCCTCTTAGCCGTACGGTATTTAGTTAGGGGCCAAGAACGTGCCTTGGCAGACGCATAGCAGAATTGGAAATGTAACTGCTAATATCTAGGGTAATCTGCATAAATTTCATGCTTCCTAAGCAAAGCGGCATTTACAATTGGTCTAATAACGCAGTTTGCTTTCGTATGCTTATTTTCAATGTATTTTCTAATGCTTTTATTTCGATTTTATACAATTAGTTGATTTGTGGATATCGCATGGACTGCCGCAATGTGAGTGAAGTTGAACTGGTTATTAGAATAATAACTTCCCCGGATTCCGATATCCTGGTAGGATTGGAAAAAGTAGTTAATTATTGTATATGCGAGCATATGCAATAATAATGAAAGCAAGTGGTGGATGTTAATAAGTACATGGTTACTGCTTTACCTCTATGTGCCTATGTTAGATGACTAAGCTAGTAGTATTTCCAGTCAAGCATATGTAATTCATGATTTGTAGATCGAATAAGTAATAATGTTACTAGTATAGAGCAGTTAGTTACGGTTACTCCTGCTAGATGATGGTCAATTATTTGTATCAGTTTGGCAAACATATAGTTGAAATATATTGTATTCACTATATTGAGCGAAGAAATTGATTTGGCCGTTATAAAATGATTTTATTGACTAATATGTGAATAATCTGATACTGAATGATTGAAACAGAAGTTGCTCTGGTTGCAGAGATTTCAGCTATACGAATACAGTAGTAACGCAACGAGCAGTAGCACTAACGATACGTTAACGCTAAAGACGGTATCTGCCTAATTGTATCAAGTTAGAGATTTGCTCCATTTTAATAACTTAAATTTTGAGTTAGTGATTGTGAACTCAAATGGTTTAGAATCCACTCGCCACGCTGGCACTGTCGATATCAAATCATGCTTAGAGTACAGTCTAGATTCAGGCTTAGAGTGCGCTGTAGGTTGCTACAACATTTTCATGTGGCAACATCATTAAAGGAATCGGATTTTCACTGTAATTACTTAATAGGACATGTGCTAGGTTTATTAGCATATGCATCGAGGGGTTCTTGTTGCTAGTTTGTTGCAGATACAGCTACAGTTTGTTTTTCCTTGTAATAAAATTGAACATGGTTATATAAATCTTGATAGTCTGATTTTATGTTGGAGCCTTAGAATTAGCTTACTACACGCTATTTAAGCCAAAGCAGTCGAATAAGAATACAGAACGAATACAAGTGTAAATAGATACAACCAGACTCCAAATAAGTATACAAAAAGAAAAGACAATAGTAAAATTAATACTAGTAAATTTTTGATTGTATTTAACAAATCAAGTCTAGTTTGCTTTCCTCTTTCATCTCATAGAGGCTGTACAACTGCACACTACACTCGATAATTGATATACAAATTAGCTGAAAATTACTTTATGACTGATGATAGCCTTAATACAAAGTGTAAAGAGTATTAAATTTGCTTAAGTTTTTTACTTCATTTATAAAGAAATAGAATTTAATCGATTTCAAGTAGTTGTTAAATAAAGCGCAATATCAACCACATGTACGAATACAGTTCCGTTCTTAATAGGATTAATAGTTATAATCAATTTCTCAATCTATAATATCGTACTTACTATTCGAAAGACAAGCATTACACTGAAAAATATGCCATTACGCAACAATATTTTCATGTCTTAGTGGGCTTAATAGCCAAAGCAATATCGTTCCTATCTATTCGTCGTAAAGCTGCTTGAAGCTGATCAACATTTACATTTGGATAATTTTTATTATACCACTTGTTGAGAAATTTCATCGCTTGGTCAAAAACCTTACTTTCTTTATCTTTAATACTATCGACATCGATGGATTGATCCAAAGTTGCAGCCAATCTTGTCCAATCCAAACCAATTGTATTTGCAGTTTGGAAAAAGTGCTTCTTTGGATCTATAACATTACATTAATATCGCAGATAAATTAAAATGCAAACAATGAAACAAGATATACTCTTAAACGAAACTTATAACCGATATTAAATGATAGCTTGTAAATGCTCGACTTTGCCATATTGATCGAATGCGAAATATAAAATAAAACAAACTTGAACTGTATATGTATCGTGTATGTAAAAGTAGCCGGAGTGCACAAGTAGAATCTAATGAATCGCGTACAGGTTGTTTGGTTAGCTTGTAATTAATATCGTAAGCCATAACATTGAACTATTCGTACTTTCTAATGATGCATGTAATGATCATATTCTTTTAAGGGGAGTAGATGGATAGAGAGAATAAAGAAGTACGTGTTGGTCATGCACATATTTTCACTGATGCTTTACGAAATCCAATTATTATTATAATGTATAAACTGGATATCAATTTGTTTTCATCTACAGCAAAATACTAACATAACCACTACTCGATCTATATTTTGTACGTGGTTCACTAGTACCTACCGTAAATATTGCATGTTCGGTAGTCGTATTTAATTCTAGTAACTTTCAGCTGTCAGATCTTATATTGGTAAGAATGATTGATGTTTCTCAATGAAAAGAA